AGGCCGGCCTCAGTCTCACAGAGATTTGCTCGCCTCTGCATCCTGAGTGCTGGGAGAGGCATATGCCACCATGCCCGGCTTAGATTAGAATGTTTAACAATGAAAATTCATCCAAGTGGTAAGTAAAAGTGGGTGTAAATAGTTATACTAATATCAGACACCATCGATCACAAATAGTACTACAGAAAAAGAAGAACATGAAATAATCATAAAAGCTCAATTTGTTTGGATGGTAATAATTATAAAAGTACATATACCAGGGCTGGAAGGATGGCTCAGTGGTTAAGAACACTGGTTGTTCTTGCAGAAGACCCGGGTTTGAATCCCAGCACCCACATGGCAGCTAACAACTGTCTGTAACTCCAGTCCCAGGGGATCCGACAGCTTCTTCTGACCTCCACGGGCATTGTACAACATGGGTGCACTTACTGACATGTGGACAATACACATACAGGCATACACATAAAATAAAAATAATAAATAAAAAAAATTTAAAGTACATATACCTAACAGGTCCTCAGGATACATGAAGCAAAAACTGATACACTTGAAAGGAAAAATAGATAACTGAACTGTATCGGGAGATTGCAATGCTTCACTCTCAATGACTGACAGAGCAGCTGCCCTACATCTCAATAAAGTGTGAGAACCTAAAAAATACTAGCAAGCATGATGTACACGGAAAATATAGAAAATTCCACCAAATAGGAGAATACACATAAACAGACCAAATGTTAAGATGACAATACAAGAAATCTCAATCACAATAAAAGGGCACAGTATGCCCGTGACCATGCACAGTATGCTCATGACCAGGAGGAAATGCAGACAATTCCCAGATGCTTTAAATACTAAAACATGCTTCTAATCTTAGGGGTAAGATACCAAACTATATGCTAGCTGTGTAACTCAGTTAAGAATGGTCAGTAGAAAAAAAAAAATAGACTCTAATTCAAACAGAAAAGAAAAAAAGAGCTTCAGAAACTCATACAGGCAGTAACAGAACAGCAGGAAAGCGTCAAGGATAAGATAATCAATATACAAAAAGAAGTCAGTCAAGCTGAGTGCACCTCCAACTGTGCAGTTCCCCAGCTAGAGGGAGGAAAGCAGAGGCTGCCTGCTAAAAGGGAAGCCAAGAAGCCACAGTGATGAGAGACAGCCCTACCTGTGGGACAGGCCCATGGCCCTCACAAGCCTCATATCCAGCTACAGGTTTTGGAGGGCAGTGGCCAGGCATCATCTTAAGAGGGTAACTGCTGTTAAAATTGAGCTGTTCTAGGGGCCTAAGAACTGGAAACCACCAAGTCATGGAGCCTGAATTAACCTGCCACAGACCCAGGGTGAGAGATAGCTCTGGGAAGGCCAACTTTTCAACTGAGAATAAAGCTAGAACTTAACAGTTCTTAGACTGAGGAAAAGCATGGATGCCTTTGGAGACATTTATCACGGAAAAAAACAAGCAAGTAAAGTTCACTGCAGGACCTGGAGAGGAATGAAAGCAACATAGAGAAAATGTTCAGCAAAATAGATGAGCAGACCACCAGTGTGGATGAAAAAGTCACAGGTGGAAGAAAACTTAAGCAAGGAAAGTGATACTTTGTTTATAAAGCTGGAAAAGAAAAACTCAATGGAATAAATGAAAAAACAGAGCAAAAAAAGTCACAAATAGACTTGAATAAGCAGAAGAATATCAAGGCAAGAGGACAACCTTTGGAAAATACTGGAAGATCCAGACGTCAATAAAGGAAAATCAAAAATGAGCATGACCACAATGCTGAAAACTCAAGGATGTGATCAAGAGACCAAACCAAAGAATTCATGGGATAGAAGAAAGAATGAAATAAATACTAAAGGCATAGAAATTAAAGAATAAATTTCCCGAATCTAGAGAAAGAAAGGTACATTCAAACACAAGAAGCATTTAGAAGCCTAAACACACAGGATCAGGGAATAACCTTTCTGTGATTTTATTTATACTCAAGGTGTCAATGTATAAAAGCCAATGTACAAAACAATATTAAAAGCAATAACAGAAAAATGCCAACTCACCTGTAAAAGCAAAAACGTCAGAATAGCATGAGATCACTTGTCAACAACCCTCAGTGTCGGGAAAGCATGGAATGATATATTTCAAGCTCTGAAAGGAATCCTGCCAACCATGATTGTTACATCCAGAAAAGCTGCCTTTTAAAATTGGTGAAGAAATAAGAACATTTCAGGATAAGCACAAACTAAGGCAGTTCATGACTACAAAGCCAGTATAGCAAAAGATACGTAGAGTAATATTATATACTGAGCAAGAAAAAAGACAGTCTCAATCACAGGATCACAGGGAAGAATAAATTTCATGAAAGGATTTGACTGAACAGAGAGCTAGGAAAGAATCCACCATCTCTGACACAGTACACCAGTAAACCCCTACTGTTAGTGGGGGAAGAGAGTAAAGGACAAACAACAGTCCAACCAACTCAAAAAACACCCAACGAAATCACAAAAATGAGTAAATACCTCTCCATAACAACCTTACATGTAAATGGCTTCAACTCAACAAGGAGATGAGGACTGGAAAACTGGATTATAAAAACTAGATGCCAGGGAATACTTTGGAAATGTATCTTTTTAAAGATCCCTGGAACATCTAGAAGAAATGGATAAATACCTCAACATTTATATTACCCACCAAAATAAATCAAGAGACTATAAACAACTTAAACAGAAGCATAACATTCAATGAAATGTAAGCACTAATAAAAACTCCCAAGAAATAAAAGCTCAGGAACAGAGAGGTTCACTGCTGAATTGTGCCAAGCATTTAAAGAGCTAAAAGAATCAATGCTCCTCGAACTGTTCCATAAAATAGAAAGGGAAGGAACACCACAAACTCATTCTACAATGCTGACATTGCTGACACTGAAACCAGATAAGACACAACAAAGAAAGAAAAGTATAGAACAATTTTACTGATAAGCAAAGACACAAAAATTCTCAATAAAAGTCTTGCAAATTGAATTTAGGAACACATTAAGAAGACCATACCAAGTAGATTTCATTCCAAGGATACAAGTTGGTTTCAACATATGTAAATCAGCAACTGTAATTCAGCACATAAATAAACAAATATAATCTCAGTAACTATAGAGAAGGCCTTGTCATTTTTTTATGCTTGTAAGGATGTGCTCATGTGTGTGCAGGTGTGCATGTCTGTGCATGCATATGGATGCCAGAAATGGGTATCAGAACTCTCAAGGTTGGAGAGTTTTCATATTGCTTGGCTTCGTTTATGTGGGTGCTGGGATCTGGACTTCAGTCCTCACGACTGTGTAGCAAATGCTCCTAATCACTGAGCCATCTCTCTAATCTCAGAAAAGGCCTTTGACAAAGTCCAACATCATAAAGAGCCCAGAAGAGATTAGGGAAGGAACACAGCACAACACAATAAAGGCTGTATAAGACAAGTCGGTAAACAAACTTTGTACTAAATGGAGCAAACTGAAACAATTTCTTCTAAAATGTGGAATGAGACAAGGTTTCCCACTCTCTCCACTCTTGTTCAATTTGCTGTTTGAAATCTCAGTTACAGTAATAAAAAAAAGAGAGAGAAATAAAAGGGATAAAAATAGAAAAGGAAGAATTTAAATTATCCCAATTTGTAAACGACGTGATCCTAATAACTCCACTAGAAAACTCTTAGACCTGAAAAGCACTGTCAACAAAGTAGCTGGATATATCAACATACAAAATTAGCAGCTTTTCTAAGTACACCAACAACAAACTACACCAACAACAAACTTGCAGAGAAAGAATTTTTTTTTAAAAATCATATTCAGCTAAGGTTGGGGCCTGCTGCCCATTTCCCCAGTTTTATGCTGGGTTTTTATGTGAGTGAGTCTGCATGGGTCTTGTGCATGCTGTCACCGCTGCTGCAAGTTCATATGAGCAAGTTTCCAGATCATTATGTTAGGCGACATAAGACAAACTCAGGAAAGCAAATACTATAGCTTTCTCTCATATGTGGCATGTAGATTTCATTTTATATGTAAGTGTGTATAGAGGGTCATGAGTGGAGCTAGGAGACAGTAAGTAAGGGAGGAAGACACCTTAAGGGAGTCAAGAAGGGTGGAAAGGGGGTTACTAAGGGAATACATGGGGCTTAAAAACAGAAGGAATGACTTGTGGGTCGGAGCGGAGCATGTTCAGCAAGAGTGGGGCAGAGAGAATGGGGGGCAGGATGGGGGGGACAAGAACCAAGTATAACGCATGCATGAAATTACCAAAATAAACCCGTTACTCTGCATACTAACTTTAAAAATTAATTTAAAAGTTTTTAACCATTCTTCTACATAATACGTGAGTCAAATAAGCAATTACTTGGAATTTTAGGGGATATTTGAGCTTAATGAAATTGAAAGCAAACATGAAAGTTGGAAAGAAGCAGTATTTGGTCAGGATCCTGTGGGGATGGTATTTTTCTGTTAGCTTTCTTTTTTTCTGTTTGAGGAAGGCATAAGTTTATATACAATGTCTCAAGGTTAAAATATACATTGTGAGTTATTTTAATAGCAATCGTAATGGAAATGATACACAACATTAACTACTCTATGACAATAAAATATCTTTCCATGATAATAGAATAGTGTTTGTTCAAATATTACCCCAAGTGAAGCAGCTTTTCAAGATATTGCTACCCTGAAAACTTACTGCTATGAGTCACTTTTCTCCAAACTCAATTTTGAGAAAATACTATTGAAGTTAGAACAAATTCACTTGCCACAAATATAATTCAAGAAAAAAAAACAGCAACAAAATTAACAGTTTTATGGGAAATATTTAAATGTCTGAGGTAAAAACACTGATTAACTTAAGGTCGTCCAATTACAACTGCCGTCATTTTCCAATGAGTGAATATGTAAAGAGACTTGCAGCCTTAGCCTTCATTTCAGTAAGTCAAATATGAGATCTAATCAGCTACAGGATCCCACAGAAAGGCTCTGAAGTCTTACCTCCATCAGAACAAAGAGTGCTGCAAAGAAGAGGAGAGTTGCCCACTCCACCCTGTGGAGAATGATCTCAAAATCGTGGGTATCAGCTAAAATTAGCAACCAGATGGCACCCAGAATAGCAATCCATCCTGTAATACAAATAAGTGGGTGTGTATTTCCATTGTTAATACAACTAATGTTTTATCTTCTGAATGTTTTATTATTTATGTACTGAAAAACACACATTTAAAACTATAATTTCTATTTTGATATATGTGTATATTCAAGAACCAACAACACTGCAATCAAAATAATGGGCTCATTCATTATCCTCAGAACTCATGCACACCTGAGCTCCATCCCCCTCCAGATCCTTCTGTCACTGCATACATGCTCCCAATAAAATAGCCACCTCTTTTCTCTATAGATCAGTTTACATTTTGTGTATTGTCTATAGAGGGAGATTTGTATTCTCCTTTTTCTCACCCACCCTATCGCTCCCTGTCCCTCCTTCCTTCCTATCCTCTCTCTCAATGTTGGGTATCATGCCCACAACCTAACACAGTTTACATAAGTACTCTACCTCTGGGGCATGCTCTGGCCCTCAGATTCTCTGTTAATCATGTGATATGTGTTTTTGTCTGACTGTTTCTCAATGGACAAAACCTCTAAACAGAAAAGCAGTGTTCAGCACAATTACTTCAAGGTTTATCCATTTTGCTGTGTGAATCAATGTTCATTCTTTTTCACCATTCAGTGGTATGTCATCACTTATCTGTGAGACAATATACATCCCATTTACACATTGATGGATATTCAGATGTTTTCCAGTGTTTGGCTATTACAAATAAATGTGACGTGAATATTCACGGAATCACAGTGACCTTCCTCCATGTGAATAGAGCCCTAGAGTTGGGCAACAAATAACCCAGCCCTAAGAAATCCAGCTGCCTTTGGAAGTCACAGAGCCATTAGGACCATCCCCTTTCTCCTCAAGTTCCTTGAAAATCAAAGAAGACACATTCTTCATTGACTCTCTCCACATGCACCAACATCCAGGCAGATTGTAATGGCTGAGCACTGCAGGTACCACAGCTCAAAAGTCTTCATATCACATACCAATATTGAAAACATTTCAGAACGTGCTTTGTATTGTAATGGCTCATTAGCATATGATCAGAGTTCCTCACAGCTGTCACTCTTCTCCTTGCTCAAAGTTTTCTCAGCCCCATGGAGTTAGATGAAACCTTGAGACCTGCTTTTCCACTGAGCTGTGAGTAAACAACACTCATATTCCTAGGCAGCATTTAAGGCAGCTGTCAACTCTATGTACCATCCCTTCCCTGCCAAGGTGACATAGAAACTGTGTGTTGATATGCTGGCATCAAAAAATATTGGTTCCTTGTCCACAAGGACTCTCACTGACCAGCAGTGAACATACAATGTCAATAAGAAAAACTCTTCCCTGTGGTAGCTCTTTTGAGATAGTAGGACCAGTGCTTTACTCAGTTCAGTCTATTCTTTCCCAATACAGCTGGACTCAGAAAAAAATCTGATGCACAGCATTTAAGTTATACTGTGCAAAGGTTCAAAGAAAAACTTGTTTCTGTTGCTGAGTTTTATTCCAATTAAATGTGTCATTCACTTACAATGGAACACTTAGTTTCCACAAACAAGCATTTGGAAAACCAGTTATCTTATGATTAGAAGCTCTGGAAATGGTCATATCTAAGATCTAAATTGTTGCTAAAGTTATAAATGTTGAAAGATTGAAGTGTGGCCACAAGAGTGAAATCGTTGACAGACCTTATTGCTTCTAACTCCAAACTAGAGATCCCCAGAGAAGTGGTAATGTTCTCTGATTCCAATAGTGCTAATAACCCTGTAAATATGAGCTATCTTGATTGGGTTTTCTAAAACAAATATGAGGATTTCTCTTCTTTTTAATACTAAGAAAGATTACAAATTATGTAGGAAACAATGTTAATACCGTTGGACACAATGTAGGTTGTTAATTACCAATGACAAAATAGTGTTAGTAAATAGAAACCATTTGATTTAAGAGTTTTAAAATTTGTCTTGATAGATGTCTTACTCTTCTACTGATAACTTACAGATTTTTAAGTGGACCACTAACTTTTCTGAAAAATCTAGGGCTGAAAAGCTTTAGCGTCTCTAACAGAATCAATTTTTAAACAGTCAGCTGTCTTAACAGTTTGTGCAAACATATGTGATACAAGCTACTAGGAATTGAAAACTGAAAGAAGAAAGGGCCATTAAATTTTTTGCTCCACTCAAAAATCACTGACCTGAGAGTGTCAAGATAAGAATCTGGCTGCATTATTCAAAACGTACAGCAGCAATAAAAAGAGATGATCATAAAGAGTATTAGTGCTAATGGTCAGAAAATCGGGGCTAAAACATGATCAACATGGCAAAAGGCACCATTAACTTCCTCTCAACAGTTTCAACAAACTAGAGGAAGAGCACTAGCCTTCTTTTTTTCTTTTTTTCTCTTGCATTTCTTTTTTTTTTAAGTTTTTCAAAAACTTCATTGAGAATTTCATACATGCATATAAGGTGTTTTGATCAAATCCATGTCCCTTTCCCTCCCCTCCAAGTCCTCCCATCTCCCCATCACTTTTTTTCTGACAACTTCATGCATTCATTTATCTTCTTTTATTTATTTATTTTTATGGATCTTTTGGCTACTCTAACAGTCCCCCTCTGAAAAGGTAACCCTAAAATCTTTTAAGGTTTAGATACAAGGTCCCAAATACTTTAAACATTTTTGGTCTTTGGAACAGAGTATGTTGCTAAGAGGCCCAAGGACATTTTGACTTTTAGCCAAGAACCTGGCTACTTTTCTTTGGGGTCTTTTTACATCCATGCCACTCCCTTCCTTCCAATATTCCCCCATCTGAAGAGGTGCCACCACTCCTGGCTAATGATTAGATACAAGCTCCCAAATACTTTTGACATTTTTGGCCTTTGGAACAGAATATGTTGCTAACAGGCCCAAGGACATTTTGACTTTTAGCCAAGAAACTGGCTACATTCTTTGGGGTCTTTTTACCCTAACTCCCTAGCCAATTCCTACCTCCTATTCTTATCACACCACCCTCTGA